ATGGAAAAGTTGTTTAACTTCCATAATTCCATTCAAAAAGTTCATCTTTAATAGATGATAGATTCAGGGCCCAAAATTTAAACGATTTTAAGTATTTATTTGTTTATTTTTACATAATTTGGACTTCCAGCTCATGAAACCCACGAAAACAGGATTTCAAAAACTTAGAATACTGTGAAGACATCAGCCCACACTACTTCTCAGTTTTTACAGAAAAAAGAAAGAAATTAGGATCACAACAAATCAATCAAAATATGGTACTTTCAAAACTGTGAATACTACACTCTGGACTGTGTAGCTCCATCTAAACTGGTGCGGCCTAAAGCCAGATCTGAACCCTGGTTTAATGAAAAAACTCTTGCAGCCAGACAGGAGTGCCGCAGAGCTGAACGGAGATGGAAAAAGGATAAACTGGAGGTTTCATTTTACATTTTAAAGGACTGTCAACGTCAGGACCAGAACACTGTTAAAGAGGCCAAAAAACAACACTTGTCAGATATTATTGTGTCCAATCATAATAATCCACGTGTCCTTTTTAAAACTATTGACTCTGTCCTGAAGGCCCCACAACCTGTCTGTCTGGAAAACTCTACTGAACTTTGTAATGACTTCCTGCAGTTTTTTATAAATAAGGTTGTTACCACAAGGGCCCTTATTTCAGCCCCTGCTTTTGACCCCTCCTGCTTGGTCCCCTGCCTGGCTGTGTTCGATAGATTTGAACCAGTGACCCTGACCCTTTTAGCGGATGTGGTCGGCCATATTAGACCATCAGGTTCTCCTCGTGACCTTGTCCCCCCTCGTCTTTTAAAAGAGGTGTTTTTCAGCATCAGGCAGGTGATTCTTGCTGTTATCAATAGCAATCCAGCAGATTCTGGAATCTTCTCTGTTTGATAATCCACTGAAGCCCACGGTCATCTCTTTAGCTGGTGCATCTTCTGCCACATTTTGCCCTTCCATTAGACTTTCCATTGAGATGCTTGGACACAGCACTCTATGAACAGCCAGCCTCCTTAGCTATGAACTTTTGTGGCTTACCCATCCTATGGAGGGCATCAATGATGGTCTTCTGGACAGTTATGTCTGCAGTCTTCCCCATATTGAACTGAACTGAGACAATTGAACCAAACTGAAGCATTTTAATGACACCTGGGGAAACCTGTGCAGGTGCTTTGAGTTTAGTAGATGATTAGTGTCACACTCAGTTTAAAACATTCATGCAACATTTGGGCTGATTTCTTCTCAGTATTCTAATTTTTTTGAAATCCTGTTTTCGTGGGTTTCATGAGCTGGAAGCCCAAATTATGTAAAAATACACAAATAATTTAACTTGTGGGCCCTGAATCTTTCATCTATTAAAGATTAACTTTGTTGAATGGAATTATGGAAGTTACACAACTTTTCCATGATATTCTAATTTTTTGTAAAGGGTCTGTATATAAGTTGTGTTGTTGTTTTAGAGAAGCTATAAACTTTAAAGAAACCAAAAGTAGAAGGAAATGTTAAGAATTACTTGGGCCCTATTTACACGAACACGGTGGGGGGAAACATAGGTTTTTTTTGTATGTTAGAGGAAAAGATCCACGTTGACATGGACAAATTTTGTGTTTACATGCATCTGGAGGAATCCCCCCCACACACACCCCCGCCCCCACTGAATCCGCTGTAGTTACCATGCCGGGTCATTAGTTGGCGCTGTGAATTTTGTACCTTCACCTAATGCGTGCTGCCTCGGCCCGCTCCTTTCCTCTGGGCTAAAAGTTCAGCTAACAACAACTTAACAACAAGTTAAAGCTGGATTCTGGATAAGACTCAACAGATTTGATGCCAAGCAGGACCGCTTCGTCTAACAGCTCCACACCGGTCGCTGAGTGGACCAGAACACAGTCGACGATGTTGGACTTTACTCCGTGATAATCAGTAGCTGATTTACAGCAGGTAAATCAAATGTTCTTAATAATCTTAGTTTGTGTTTACTTTGATCACACAACAACAGAGTTTTTATTTTTATTTTTTCCTGAAAGAAGAAGCTGTCCTTCCACCAGGCGGAGCGGTTCTGAACGAGGCTCGGCCCAGGTGCAGTGAAGGAGGACGTTGAAGAGAGAGATGTTGGATGAACTATTTATTTAAAATTCCCCTCAGTTCTTTTATTGAATCCATTTAATATTTTAAGCTGCATTAATCAAAGGAGTGACAGCCTGAACGAGCCAGATGAACAACGTGGGACCAGAGTCCAGGATGAAAACAAGAGTCCAGTTCATTAATGTAGATTACAGTTAACTTGTTTTTAATAGTGTGTTCTGTTTAATTATCAGTGTTTGTGTGACATACAGTTTGTGGTGTTGAATAAATAAATAAAAATTAAACCTGATGTCTTCATTTTCAACTATAATAACACACAATATGTTTAGCATCATTTTAATCACATAACTTGAATTAATGTCCAGATAGTTTCATTATAACACTCACACTAACATAAATACTGTTTATTATTATTAACCTTATTATTTAGCACATTCAGTATGTTATAGTGCAGCGCGCCTCGACAGGCTCGTTCTATAAACAGCGACATTAGAACTGGATCAGACTGTGTCTCTTCCAACACAGATGTCGGTCACAGCACCTGGAATCTGACGTAGATTAACTACGAGATTAAAATATTCCATCAGTCGAGGTTCTGAAAGCAGTGTGTCCGCCGCCATGTTGATAGAAATATAGCGTCTGTACGTGCGTGCGTGTGCGCATGTGGTTTAACACAAAGCCTCAGCAGGAGATGTTTATATTATCAGCCTCTAGAAGGTGGGGTCAGAAACCCCTGGATTCAGAGAGGGGGGCCACTGTTGTCGTGTAAATGATCAGCAGAACCGCAGAGAGAAAGATGCGGATTCACTCAAAATATCACTGTGTAAACAGCCCCATAGTATTGCGAAACGGTAACGTGAATTTTTCATGTTATGAAAGAGTGATTACATTAAAGATCACTGATGAAATCCAAATAACCTGGATATTGTTATTATTTTTGTTGTATTAAAGTTAAAAAGGAGATTAGATACTTTTTGTGTACAAAGGACCATAAGCAATGTGAAAAATGCTAACGGCATCATCATTAATGTGCCTTATTTACTTTGTTTAGAAGCTGAAGGGTTTTTTGAGGCTGCTTGAGGATGATAGTTTCAGCTTTTTCCTGAAACTGTTCCATCTGATCATGCCTCATGTGGACATTCTCCACAGCCAGCTCCAGAAGCAGACCATCGACTCAGACTTCGTTCAGAGAATCATGCAGCAGTTTGTAGACAACATTCAAAAAATCAGGTAAATTAATGTGGATGTTGTGCTGTTTAATTTTACTGCTATTTTGTTCATCTTGTGCTTGGAACGAATTCACATTTCTTGTTATTTTACCTGGTGACTAAATATGAACACTGTTCTTTTATGACATCAAAGCCCATGCTCAATAATCCAGGTATACAATCCAACATTTTTCAGTTGGGTCATCTGGACAGTTTCTTTTTTTTGTGCTGAAATGTTTTACCTTGATCCGGAAGGCTTCATCAGTCAAGGAAACGCACAACAAAACTGATTCTTCCCCCAACAGCTTACTACAAAGAGGAACAAACCAGTTAAGTTGGTGCTAAGACGGTCTGGAGTAAGCTGTTAGGGGAAGAATCAGTTTTGTTGTGCGTTTCCTTGACTGATGAAGCCTTCTGGATCGTAGGCGAAATGTTTCAGCACAAAATAAGAAACTGTCCAGATGACCCGACTGAAAAATGTTGTTCTGTTATGGTTTTGTTCAGATACTCCTATCCTACTATATATGGAGAACACAGTGGCAGTGTATCCCAGCTGGCCAAGACACGCCACACACTGGGCCCTGGTGAACTTCAGAAGATAGCTGCAGAGGTGAGAGAAGCTAAATGCATGATGTAGGTCTTTTACATCGTTTTTAAATTCAATTCAATTCAAAAATACTTTATTAATCCCAGAGGGAAATTATTTGTTGTTGCAACTCATTATCCTCATTTCATTAAGAGATGTTACAGATACTGATGCTGTAGACAGGAAGGATCTCTTGTAAAGGTCCATCCCACAGTGGATCCTAAGAAACTGACTTCAGATGGCGTCCGATCCGTCCACCCAGACTCAGCTGGCATCTCGGTTCCCCTCGGGCTGTAGGACCGCCCAAATGCCGGGCAAAACTCCTCCCAGTGCGATGGCCACTCCTCCCATCAGCCTGCCGAGCTCCTCGTCACTGCGGACAGCCAAATGTAGGTGCAGAGGGACGATCCTGTCCTTCCGCTGTCATGAGCCGCTAGTTCCAGGATCTCAGTGGTCAGGCACTCGAGCACAGCTGGCAGGTAGATGAGAATGCATCCACAGAACAACCTTTTCAACTCACTTGAGATTTGGGGCTTTAGTTGAGATATTATTTGAGCTTTTGAGATGTTAATCAGCTGCTGTTGGTTGTAGAAAACAGCCTTGTTGCCATGGTTACGCATCATAACAAATGTCCAAAACTAAAAAAGTTTCAGTAAAAATCCTTCCAGCTGCACAGCATCTGGTACCAGAGGAAACAATCATCCAAAAAATTACGATTTACATCCAGAAAAAGAGGAATTAAAGTTTCCAAAAGCAAAATCTCTAAATGAATGTAACAGAGCTGCTCCAACATGCAGCCACCTGGAGCGGCGCAATTCTAGAACTATAATCTATACTATACTATAACATATAACACACATCTATACTATAATCATAGTAGTTCTGTACTGAGGAAAAAGTGAGGAGCACATCTTAAAAGAGTCCCTTTATAATATAATAGTCTACTTGTTTATAAATGCAATGTGAATTTGCATTGTTGCTACTAAATGAACACATTTACTCATAAAATAAATAGTTTTTATATGTTAAATAATTAGAACGCTGACTAGCCATCTCCCTGTCGTCCTGACTACCAGGAAAAATAAACATTATCCATGTCCAATATTTTATTATTCATATGGAAGAGAAAGGTACAAAACCCCACCCTTTTATATTTGGTATACTTGAAAAGCCCTAAATGTCCTCTGTAGAGAGCCAAAGGAGTTGATTCGGTAGTATGCTGTGAGTAGGAGATATTCAGGTTTACAAATGTCCTCCAAGGAGGACCCATTTGAAGTGCTGGTCGTCAGGAGGACACTGTATTAAAGTGATGTATTCATTTGTAGGTTTGTGACACCATCTTAGGCCACGTAAAACAGATTTACCTTCACAAAGCTCTCTTTACAACCTTGTAAATATTATAATTACTTTTTCATTTTTTGGTACTTTATTTTTGTACCCTTCTTGCATGCTTTAGTATTTTCTTGTTTGTTTGTTCTTTGTTGTTTTAGTGAGTCAAATTGGTTCTTCTCATCCTGAGCATTTCATTGTGTTATTTGCATTTGACAAATAAGCATGATTTGAACTTGGAACAAATGGTTTTTCATTTTGGAGATATAGTGTTGTTTCTGTGTTTGAACCGACGGTGAGAGCTCTGCACAAGAATTTCAATGTGCCTGGATTGTTGGTCTGTGCACAAATGGCAAATAAAGAACTTTGAACAGGAATGCTGCAAGATGAGAAATGTGAACAAACCTTTCTGCGACTCGTGCTTCTCCGTTTTTCCCTGGTAATCGAAGCCCAAGGCACTCTGGTCAACACGATCAGCCTGCACACCGTACCGCCCTCCAAACCCAGTGGAGTAGTCTACACAGTGGTGGGGAAGAGGTGAGGAGTCAGATGAGAGTAAAGCAGCAGTGCTCATCACACGTTTTGGTTTTCTGCTTCAGGGGTGGCAAAGATTTGGCAGGTGTTTTCCACTGGATGCCCTCACTGACACAACCGGGCCTCACACTTAGGGAGCAGACTATTTCCTGGAATACCTCGTAATACTCCGAGTCAGCAGATGTAACACGCTACTTTTAAGTTTTGCTGTTTGTGAATCCTGTTCTGTTCAGGTGTATCTGCAGGTGATGCTCAGCTGCTCAGGCTGTTGACAAGTCAACTACATCTGGGGAATATTTAAGTTTGTACCAAATGTTATAAAGACAATGAGGAAGAAAACAATAAAACTCAAGACAGGAGGAAGTCATGAGAATGGTGCTTAAAACAAAAAGGTCAGAATCAATTTCTGAGGTCCAAGTGTGATATTAATCTGATGTAAAAGCTTGAATGTACAATTTAGAAATGAAACAGTTTATAGATAGAGAGATAGCAAAAAAGATAGTGAGACAGATGGAAAGATAGTGAGACAGATGGAAAGATAGTGAGACAGGTGGAAAGATAGTGAGACAGATGGAAAGATAGTGAGACAGATGGAGAGATAGTGAGACAGATGGAAAGACAGTGTGACAGATGGAAAGATAGTGAGACAGACGGAAAGAGTGAGACAGACGGAGAGATAGTGAGACAGATGGAGAGATAGTGAGACAGATGGAGAGATAGTGAGACAGATGGAAAGATAGTGAGACAGATGGAGAGATAGTGAGACAGATGGAGAGATAGT